ACGCTCTTATGGACCAACCATACTGACACAAGAGGAGGGGGGAAGCATATAAACACCACAAGAAGTTATCAGTAGGCTTAGTGGCCACGCTGTGTGTTGGGGGCTGGTGGGGGGGAAGCCTGGTGTTATCTTCCTTTTCCACCAGCAGCTGTGGGGTTCTGACTTCTCCTTGGCAAGTCAAAGCTCTCATCCCATGGTTTCTGGAAGGTTCTACAAATATGCACCATTAGTCAGTGAGGAAGGTACTTGATATCAAAGTGATCCCTGGATCCTGTGAAACTCAACTGATCATTTGAATTCATCCTGAGCCACTTGTGGATTCAAATTTTAGAGGCGCACTCACCAGGAGGTGGGGAGGTGTAAGGGTGGTGAAAAGGCCACGTGGGCCGTGGGCAGTCAGTGTCAGCTAAGTGCCTTCAGGGGGGCTGAAGTCCACCGATGATGACCATATTAGACGCAGCCCAGCAAAAGTGGCCACAGCCCATCCCGGGTTTGAGTCTTAGCAAGGCTGTGTCCTGGAGCGATTTTGTCCCAATGTCCTCATTGGCAAAGTAGCAGTAAATATCAAGTTACTCACCGCACTCTGGATGAAAGAAAAAAACGTTTCCCGTCCACACTGTAGTACATCTTATCCCAGAATTTTAAAATCGGTTGGCACTCTCTGGGTACTTAATTGACATCCAGTGTCCGGAGCCAAGAAGGTTGTTTAAAATTCCCGAGAGAGACCGCCCACCCCTGAGAGACCCCCATCGAGTCACAGCGAACGCAAGGACAGAAGAGGGCTTAGTGGGATCATCTGCTGGCTCCTGGCAAGCCAATAATTAGAATAATTATTCTAGTTTATCAACATTTCAGCGTTTCCTTTTTAAACCTAGCCAGTTATTATGGACCTTTACACAAGGTTGGAAACATATTAACTATTTAGTTTCCTTATCCCCAATCTATTGTGACTTACAAACTGAATTAGATGGGAATGACCAGTGGGAGGAGCTATGATTCAGCCACAACCTTCTAAAAGGGCTCTGAACCCTCCCCGTCTCCTGCTGTTAGCCTGTCCTCACAGGCTGCCTCTGGGTGCCACTCCCTGACCAAGTTACTGTAGGGCTCCGTGGAGAGTTTCCTCTTCCGAAAACGAAAATGGGGATGGTGGTACCCCTCACCGCGTGGGCTTTCTAGGAGTTAGCAGATCTCAAGCACCTGATGGGTGTCTGACGCATGCCAAGTGCTTGATCATCTCATTAGCTTTGATTATCTTTACAGATGCCTCTGGGTGTCCGCCAGGGACTCCCGGCTGGCTGCACCGTGAGGTGTCCATACCTGGGGGAAAGATAAAGGCAGAAACCACCCTACCCCCAACACAGAGCACCCCCGGGAACGGCATCTCTCCAAGTTCCTTCCACCCCCCAGATGTCACCCTGAGACTCTGGGCTTCACGCAGACCCTTTGTGTGTCTGCCCAAAGGGTGAAACGAGAGGCAGCCACACCATTAGGGCAGACACACAAAATGTGGTACACATGTGTTTCAGCCTCACCCCAAAATTCATTTGTGATGTGCATGTCAGTGACTTGAGTTTTCTCTACTGCTGAACTTAAAATCCCCACCCAGGCACTTTGGGGCAAATTCCATCCCGTTCCCTGCTGAGCGAGCTGGGGCTTGCTGGGGTCCGGGCTTCCATGCTGGGCAGGGTGGTGTGGACCTCCGCAAGTGCCCCCCCCCCCAGCCCTGGGCTGGCGCGCACCGAGGTGGGGTCCCGATGGGACACCCTCCCAGACCCTTCTGGAACCTGCGGATTCAGCGGGGCTGCTTCCAGCTCTCTTTGGCAGGACACACAGCAGACCGGTGTCCTCACTGACCTGAGGACACTGAAGCTGCCCCGCCACATCCGCACATCTTCCCCTGCCTCCCACCCGGAGGCTGCCCCGTCCGGCATCCAGGCTGGGAACGGAGAAAGGAGCCCCCTGTACTGTGAGAGCTCAGAGCTGCTGGGGTGGGAGAGTGTCTTCGGACACTGGAACCAGATCTCCCTGCACTGCGTGTGACCCTGGGGTCCTGACCTAACCTCTCTGGGCCTCTGCTTGTTCACTTGCAAAAATGGAGATAATCATCAGTACTTTGCGGAGCTGCTATGGGAATTAAAGGAAGTCAAATGTGTAAAACCCCGCAGGGCTGCAGCAGTGGGCACTAAAGGAGGGTGTGCCGCTCCGTATTCACGTTCACCGGGACCCCAGGGCACACGGGGCCCGGCTTGTGCAATGACACCCTCTGCCCCCTGCACAAACAATGGAGCAAAGGTTGGGGAGAGACGTGTGTGCCCCAGGAGGGGAAGATGAAGGCCCATCTCCCCATCCCCCCACCTGTGGATGATGCTGCTGAGCAGGGATGAAGGTCGCTCCAGTGTCTTGAGTCTGGCCCGGGGGTCTTCCCAAGTCCCCAGGGAAAGCACACTCTCAAGACGGGGCCCTGAACAGCCAGCAAGGGAACAGAAGCCGCCGTCTGGGGCCTGGGGGTGAGGGGTGAGCACCGTCTCCCCTGATGGTGTCGGTGGCCTTGACACAGAAGCAGTGGTTCAGATCTGACCACGGAAGCTACGGTGGGTGGTGGCAGCAGGGTCTGTGAGGGGAGATAGCAGCTCCCCGGGCCTCGAGCTCCATCCAGAAGGGCGGGTGCAGGGGCCTGGGATGCTGGGGCCTCTGGGGTGGAGGGTGGTCCCCAGCCTCTGCTCCCTCCTCACCCCACGGGGCTGTGCATTGAATGCCCGGTCCTCCTGGGGGTGGAGGGCGAGCGGGGACCTGCGGGTGGGGGAAGGCGCTGGTGGGACTCCACGGACAAGTGGAGTGGGTGAGGACAGACGCTGCAAAGAGCTACGGACTCGGCCGTCAGGGAGGAAGGAAGGGATGGAGTCCCTCTCGCAGGGTGGAGGGCGTGAGAGCGCTCAGGGAGCGGGCGGGGTGTCTCGCTCGTGGGGAATCACGTGCACCTCAGAGGGGCTCTATCTCCTCCAACCAGACCTCACGTGACAAATCGCAGTGTAACAGGCCTCCCCTGGGTGGGCTCTGGGGTGCTGCCCCCTCAGCGGGGGCTTTGGGATGAGTTACTTATCCTACAACAAAGGGAATACTATCTCACTTCTAGGGTGTTCATAGGATCTCACTCGAGAGACCTGGCCCAAAGTGCAAGCTTAAAAACAAAGCCTTTTGTTTCGAAAAGGAGCCAGTGTCTCCTTTCCAGCGGGAAGGATGGCTCAGGCCCAGAAACCCCCTATCCGGAGGCTGCGCTGCTTTCTGGCTGCCCCATGCGGCGTAAACAAGCCCTGCGGTACAATCAATCAGTAGAATCGTCTGTGCAACCTTAACAGAGTCCTGCCAGCAGAAGGAGAGCAGGACACTCTGCTTGGATGGCTGGAAACCCTCCCGGTGTCCATGGAGAGCTGCGTGTCCCCAAGAGTGAGGGAGGGGACAACTCTCCATCTCGGGGTTACTAAGACTTCATGAGTGTGCTTGGTGACATTTGTTCATTTATCCACAAAGCTGCATCCATTTTCAGAGGAAAAAAGCAAAAGAAGGCCACCCAAGCTGTCACAGATGGTAAACTTGACTTACAAAGAAATACCAAAAAGTGCCAATTGGTAAGATGGTTTTATTGGCTTTCTCTTCGCCAGGAAAGACATTAATAACCTTTTTTTTTTTTTTTTTGGAACTTACATTTGAAACGGTGTTTCTCAAGGGACACTTAGAAGGTGGCTTGCCCTCCCTGTCAGGTCAGCACTAGATGTGAGGTTTGCTGCACCGTCACAACTAGGGAGCTAATTTTGGACCCTTCCCTCCTCACCAGGCTTGGGGGAGACCCTCCGCTGGGAGATGCTAAGACACCCTCCGCCGCTCCCGTCTGTGAAATGCTGAGAAGGGAGAGCGTGACTCGGTATAAGTAAAACACAACAGCGGAAAGTCTCAGGAATGAAGTCGTGTCCTCATGCTGAGTACGGGAGCTTTATTCTTTAAGACATCAGGCCTCACACATTAGGGGCAGCGCTTGCCGGGAGCAGGTGATAGAAAAGGAGAGGTGCTAGCACCAGGCAGAGTCCCCCTCCCAAGCTGTCGGGCAGCAGCATGGCTTCAGAAGGTGCATTCTGGAAACAAAGTACAGATATGCGTTACCCTGAGCCATCTCGTGCCTGCCCACCCGCTGCCCTGCTTCTCCAGGTCCGGACAGGCTCCGAGGTCAGTGCCATTTGCTGCTTTCCACACCAAGTCCCTGGGGAAGGGTTGAGTTTCCCCCCGACCCTCGTGGGAGAATAGCCACATGCCCCACGGGGACCCAGGTTGTCGGGACAGACGGCACCGGAGACGGGCCCAGGCAGGGCCACTGCCAGAGTTCAAAGAAGTGTCGTCGCAGGCCGAGGAGCCAGCAGAGCGAGGACGGCCAGCACAGGGGTGACTCTTCTTCCTGGGCCCAGAGCCTTATCTGGACCTCTGCCCGGCTTTGCTGGGAAGGGGAGGAGGCCCTGGACAGTGGGAAGGGGCCCCGTGCTGATTAGGGAGCTGTCATCAGGCTGAGATGCGGCCGCCTTTGTCGTTACCTGGGGACGAAGGGCAAGAGTGGCCCCCCGGGTGCTCTTTCCAGGAAGGGGCCTTAGGTAGCTACGTTCATCATAGACGGTGATCTGGCACCAGGGCTGCCAGATGGCTCGTGGCTGCCAGATGGCTCACGGCCACCTCCACACCGCACATGTGATGGGTGGGGCATGGAGGCAAATCACCTGTGCACAGTCTGCTCCTGACACACGGTTCCCCAGGGACTTCCCTGCACCCCACTGCTCCAGCGATGGAGGGGTGAGCACCTCGTGCTGGGGGCAGGGTGGGGGATGGCAGGGTGGGGAGAGGTGCCAGGACTCCAGTCCAGCTGAGAGCATGTCGCCAGTCGCAAAAGACAGAGACTCTGCAGGGGTCGTGTGCTGAAAATGACCTTGAAATCCGTCCAGCTTTCCAAACCTACGTTTGTCCATTTCTCTCCAAACTAGCTCCCTCTCCATAGGGCCTCGACTTTGGACACCTTTCTGAAATGATTAGAGTTTGCACAGACCTCCTCGGCCAACTGATAGCCGTGGTGCGGGGCTTCCCACCCAGGGCTCAGGTGTGTGTGGCTTCCTGGGAGCCCGGAAAGCTCCCCCGTGCACGTGGGGCTGACTCACCTGCTTCCTGCAGGGGCTTGAAGCACCAGGGCACCCCGGGGATGCTGGAGTCGAAGCAGCAGCCCCGGTTGTTGCACTGCTCGGGGGTGACATTGGGGTAGGCGCAGTCCACCCTGTCCTTGGCTGGGACCATGCACTGGTTCGGCGCTGTCCCAAACAAAGCCCAGTCAGAGCCCTTGCTGGCTTGGGGTTGGTCTACCGGCTGCACTTTGCAGGTCTGCACCCTCCTCGCCAGCTCCTGAGTTCAAAGGCTGCGATCTCACCCCTTCCATAACCTGTGCATGTCTGCTTGTCGAGGACACTCTCCCCGTAAATGTTTAAAGAGAAACGTTCTGTAGGAGATCTGGCTGGCTGCCTGGTGTCTCTCACTTGGGTGCTCCTAGCACCTTGCCAGGAAGTCAATAGGGCCTGGATTCCTTCCAGCTGGCAGGTACCCATGGGAATCCAGGGCCCCCGAACCGGAAACAATGTTCCCCTTCATTGTCTTATCAACAAAATCTCCCCCTCAAAACAAAAGGAGCGTATAATAGAACGCGGGCATTCAAAAGAGAAAAATCACAATGTGTGCTATTTTCTGCTTCTTTTCTGTATCTCCCTACCCCCCTGTCAAGCCTTCCCTGTACATCCTTGGGCCTCTAATATTCATTTTCCAAGTGAGTCTTTATGTCTGAAGTTCAGCAAAAGTCCACTTTGCCTCATTTCTTAAACTGGATTTTTCCTTAGGAAAATAGAAATCGCGTGAAATCTCGAATCCTCTCCTATGGCTGCCAATTCATTCCTTATTCCACTGGTTCCCAAACTTTGCTCACATTGGGATCAGCCGGGGGTCTTGAAAAACCATTGATACCTCCTCCCACCCTGAGACTCTCTGATATAGTTGGCATATCCCGGGCTTTAAGAGCTTTAAAATCTTCCAGGTGATTCTGATGGGTGACAAGTTTGAGACCTCTCAGCAGATAACTGCCACACCCTAATTTCTTCACACTCTGGTTAATGGAGCAGCCACATTCCACTGTAACTGCAGTGCAATGGCTAAATGAAAACTTTGTTTGTAGGTATTGAAAATGTGACCGTTTTTATTTGTCTTTTCTTTTTGCTTTGCGAATGTGCCAGAATAATGCACAAAGACCTATATTGTAATTCGGAAATCTCCAGCAAGGAAGGCAGTGGGATAGTGGGCTTCGGTGTTGGCTGCCAGCCAGGTGGACCTGGGTTCCAATCCTGATTTCCACACTGCCCGAGAGGGTCAGTCATAAACTTTCTGAGCCTCAGTTTCCTTGTCTGTAAAATAGGGACAGAAAGACCCAATATGTAGAGCTGTTGAGAGAAAATGTGTGTGTCTGGTAAGTGGCAGTTATTAAATTATTAAGGGGCCTGGTCACTCTCCTCAAGCCACAGGGAGCCCCCAGCCTGGCTCTCCAACGTCCTGTCCCCTTGCCATGTGCTCCCACCCCACCACCTGGCCCCTCGTCCTTAAGGAGGTCAGAGCGGTACTCACACAGGCCCACATACTGCCCAGTCGAGCTGGAGGACACCAAGGCCAGGACCAACACCAGCAGCCAGCACGTTCTGGCCTCCATGGTCACGGGCGGGCTCTGGGGACCCGTCGGCTCAGAGGACATGCCACATCTGCCGAGAAGACTCATTTTTTATACCCCTGTGTTTACACAGGCACTCCGGATTCTGTTTGTCTGGGGAGCCCTTCCCTCTAGGTCCAACCCCACCTGCTTCTCCCCTGCACAGGATGGTACAGCCCCCAGAGCGTTGTCCATGCCAAAGGGGAGAGGCTGCTTCCGACCCCACCTTCCTGGTAGTAGCCAGTGGTGGTCTGGGGAGCCCTTCCCTCTAGGTCCAACCCCACCTGCTTCTCCCCTGCACAGGATGGTACAGCCCCCAGAGCGTTGTCCATGCCAAAGGGGAGAGGCTGCTTCCGACCCCACCTTCCTGGTAGTAAGCCAGTGGTGGTAGCAGATTCCAGTTGCCTGTGAATACCTCTCTGTCGGGGAGCAGGGCCGTGTTGATGCCTGTGTTAGCCTGGCTGGGAGAAAAGGATAAAGGCTCAGCGTGGGGCTGGAGGGCAGGGTCAACAGGCCCGGGCATCAATCCTGCAACCTGCCCAGCAGCAGCCCACCAGGGTTCCTGCTCAGCGACAAGAGCTCCCAGGCCGCTTACTCGCAGACCAGCCTCGGGTACTTGAAAAGACAGGTGACGGCGCAAGTGCGGGATGTGGTGCGTGCAGATTTCACAACTCTTGAAAGGTAGAAGTCCCTGTTCTTTCTTTTTCGCTTTTCTCCAGCAAAAAAAATTGTTTTTATCATCAGCTACACGTTAACAAACGTATTAAATAAACTTATTCAATACATTTTCATAGAAATATAATACCTGCAGCTGGTTTTTATTTTTTTTAATATTTTCTTGCCGTGGACCATTTTTTTTTTTAAGTCTTTATTGAATTTGTTACCATAGTGCCTCTGTTTTATGTTTTGGTTTTTTGGCCAGGAGGCATGTGGGATCTTAGCTCCCCGACCAGGGATCGAGCCCGCACCCTCTGCATTGGAAGGCGATGTCCTAACCACTGGACCGCCAGGGAAGTCCCTGCAGTAGGTTTTTAAAATCAGACAGCACAGAAGACTCTCCCCCTTTTGTGTGGTGCTGTCCATGTTTAACACGTTCTTAGGTGTTTTCCAGAATGTTCTCTATACATTTAAGCACATTTTTAACACAAAGGCGAATTTACACCTTGCCCAGCTGGCTTTTTTTTTTTTTTTAAGTGAAGGCTATATCTTGGAAATTATTTTATAACAGCATACCTAAATGAGACGGGTATAATTTTACCCATTTTCTGGAGGAACAAACCAAGGCTCAAAATGTTGTTACTGAATCCAAGCTCATACTGCTGGCCACACAAAAGGCCAATAAATCGAGAGACAGGTTGGGGCAGGAATAGCGGCTTTATTGGGAAAGCTGGGAGTCCGAGAAGATGGTGGACTCGTGTCCCAAAGAAGCATCTTACCCGAGTTAGAATTCAGGCTTCTTTTATTCTAAAAGGGGAGGGGGCGTGGCTGGTTGCCTGAAACTTCTTAGTGCCGCCAGACCCAGACCTTCGTTCTTGCAGCCTTCCACGTAGGTCTAGTCACCGCGTTCCTGTAAACTTCCAACAAGACAAGGATTATTCTCTATTGTGCAAATTTTTATCCCTATGTGAACGAAAAGGGTTTTACCTTTAAAGGTCAAGCCTGGGAGTCAGAGCCTTGAGAAAGGGCCGTTATGTATATTTCAGGCTATAGGTGACATTCCGGTACCCAGGTCAAGAGGCAACATGACTAAGCACAGAGCACAAAGGTTAGAGCTGAGGGGACAGATCCCACATGGAGTCAGGTTTGTTCTTCTCTGTTACAGGATGGCTGTCAAAGGTTACCTAGGGGACCCGGCGGAGCTGGGATTCGACCTGCCTCTGTGGGACCCTGCGGTCTCCACTCTCCATTCAGGGTGCCCGCCCCGCCCTGCAGCTGGCTGACTGGGGAGAGAGGGCGCACCTGATGTCCAGTTATCGTGTGTCCTTCAGGCTTCCTTCCTGGCTGGGCTATTCTTCTCTCTGTTCAGCTCTGACCCAGGAACCGTGGAGTAGGTCTTGTACACCATCCCAGGGCGGACCCACTTGCTGGCCACACTTTGATCCCCAGGCGGGGTTACAGTGTTGGAGGGGGTCCCCAAACCACCCAGGGGTTCCTCCTCAGAGCTGTCCTCCCCTGAGCGACCAATAGGGCCAGACTCTGCGTGCACTGGGAACGGGGACTCTGTCCCTCCTCGCGACTCCCCTGGCCCAGCCCTGCTACCTACCCAGTGAGCCCTGGGGGAATCCACATGCGGTGACACCCGCATCTGGTTTGCTCCCCGCTCCAAGGCTTGGAGACAGAGCAGATTCTGCATCGTTTTCACGCCACTCGCTCTGTTTCCAGAGGGAGAGAGTCGCCCCAGCTAACAGATGGCATGATTGTTATGTCTTCGCAGGGGAAATTCCTGGGAGCCTCTTCTGGCCAGACTGCTGCCACAGCCCCTGCCCTCCCACCCC